TGTAGGGGCTACTCCTTTAGTGAACCCAAGCAGGTAGCCTTCAAGATCCATTTAGTTTTACATAGGCCAGTTGGGAATGTTCTAGAATGTCCCAGAGAAAATTAATGAGAGATTAGCCCCCCTGCTGCCACCATTCCCTTATTCAAAGCTGAGAGCTTCCTTTAATTGCTTGAAATCTTGTACTGTTTAATAGTTACTACAGAGGAAGGTTTAGGCAATTCTAAGGGCTCTCATTTTAATATATCCAGTTATATCTGGGCTAAGGAACAGCTGCCCAAGATTAGGTTCAAGCCAGGCATGATGAGATCATTCCTTCACGTGTCACATCCTTTCTGATTATACATTTAGCCAAAGGCAATGCCACCTTTATTTTTGTCTCTGCAGTTTTCACTTTGACTGTGGTACCTGTTACCACGGCATTACTATGCCTCCTTCTCTGCCCCACCAGCTTCTCTTTGCTCCTAGTATTGACATCTCTTTCCCCAGCAGCATTTCCATACATTGTGCACTGAGACATCCAGTAACCCCCGAAAGCTGTGTTCACCACCCCCAGACATCTAGCTCTAGCCATAGCGTAGCCTCGGAACCCCATTCAGAATTGGGCAAGAAGATCCTGCCTTCAAGTCAATGTTCTTTGTTTCAACTGCCTTAACAGATGGAGTAAATTCAGCAACCATGTAAGTGCCTTTGTTTCCATTCCCCACTGGCATCACTGGATTTAACTTCTGAGATGAAAGCAGCAGATTTAACAGGGGTCCTTAACGGAAGCAGCTGCCGGAACTGGAACAAATTTCCTTCCTCCCAGCGGGCAGTAATGTGCCAGGAAATCTTTCTTAGGAATCCTGTCAGTTTTCTTCTGTGTCTTAAAAGCCACCTAAAGAAAGCTAGTAGATTCACCTCTGGCCATGACCTTCTGAGTAGCCCAGGTACTTTTTTTTCTTCCATGAGTACAACCCAGCATGGCAGCTGCAAAAACAGATGTACCCATGAATTACATACACTCTCCTGCCTTCCCAAAAGGAGAGCCTCACGGGAAACCGATGCCCAGGGGACATTTGTAATTGCATTGTCTACCACAGTTTAGGTCAAAGGATATGGTTTGGTCGGGCTCATTGTATTTTTATCAGATGGCCCACCAGGGTTTGCTCTTCCCCTAAAGGGCTGTTCCACTTCCTAACAGTTAGAGACCCTGGCAGCTGCCTTCCTCAGTACAGATTCATACCACCAGGGTTTCACCTCTTCCGAAAGGGTCTTTGATTATGTGCCTGCCAATAATTCTTGAATGGCAACATTGCGGCAAATTAAGAGTTAGCATTCACACCAAACATTGCTTTTCATGCTGCAGCATGCCAAAAAAATGATCAGCTCCTAGGTCAGTTAACCTAAGGATCCTGCAAAGCATGGAGAGTGAGCTTCTTCAGACTGAAATTGCTTTCTTCACTATGGTAGCCACAATCCCATGTGGCTATAAAGCATTAGAAATACGCAGTCTGAGTTGAGGCATGTTGAAAATACACTGACATCAAGGGCTTAGTATGAAATAAAGAATGTAAAAATATCTAATTATGACTTTCAGTAAATGTTTAAATACATTTAAGAAATATTGAATGAAAGAAAATGTATTACTAAAAGTAATTGTTCCTTTTGACTTGTTAAACTGTAGCTAATATAAATTTATATTTAAAACTTCACACATGGCTTTTATTGGTGGCTTGAATTATATTGGACAGGGCTGCACAATAGTTACTAGTTTCCAGTGCCCTTTGCCTGGGGTTAGGAGACGTGGCATCAAGGTTAAGTGCAATGTCCTTTTTTGTCCCAGTTGCACTTTTGTGTTCATCTTGCGCAGAGGCCTTGAAGCTGCTTGCTCTACTTGCTCTTGTTTCTCTTTCCCCCAAGTGGTTTCAGTTGCACAGATAATCAATTAATAGGAGGCAAAGGATCAACTGTATCTTGAGTCACTCTCCCCTCAGTTCTGTCACCCCGGTTCCTTTCAGTTTTGTTTTTCTGATTAGCCATCTGCAACTCAACAAGGGATAGGACTATGTCCCCCATATTCTAATAGTAGGATTTATCCCCAGTCATTGCCCACAGAGCTCTTGTTGCCTTAAACCCAGGGTGAATCAGTATCACATTCTCAGCGGAATTCCCTCCCAACTTGTGGAGACGGAAACGATCTGAGAGCCAGGTCAGCTTCTGTCACCACTGCTGAAGTTTGGAGTTCAAATTGTCAAGCAAAGGCATCAGGCACGGTGGGCTTTAACCTAATGTAACATTTATTCAGACCTACAGGAGCCTGTGAGGCAGACCTCACATCAGACATGGCATCAAATGGGGAGGCCCGGCAGTTACTCAAGAGCACAGCTTCTTTTGCCCTTCACCCGCATGAACATGTAGCTACAGCTGCCACCAACAGTCAAGACATGTCTATATGGTCACCTTGACACAGAAGCCACAGCCTTTATTTCTGACCAAACTTGTATATCATCTAGTCACTTAGGCCAGAGAGCTTCAGGCCACAGCATGGCTCCCCCATTGCAGGTACCTCTTTCGTTGTAGATGAAGCAAACTGCTCTCTCCTTTTAGCTTAACTCTACTGTCTTCAAGGAAGCGATGCTGGAAGAATCAGAAGTCAATCTCAGCAGTGCTGAAACAGCCCAGGCCTGGTGTTTTCCCATTACTCACAGTCAGCGATGTGGAAAGATACAGTTGAGAAAAAGACAGTTGTTCACTAGATATGGTAAATCTTAAGGGAATGCATCTGTTTTGAGGTATGGGGTTCTCTAAAGGTTTGAAAATAATAAATCTTCCAGAATAGGCAGTTAGAAAGGTAGTCAATTGAGGAAGGTTAAAAGTTATGAACTTGTAAGATAAGCAAGTACTGGGCATGTAATGCACAACATGATGACTACAGCTAACAGTGCTGTATGGTATGTAAGAGGGTGGGTAAGAGAGTGGACCGTAAGAGTTTTCATCACAAGGAGAAGTTTTTTCTTTTTCTTTTATCTATATGAGGGCAAAGATGTTAAATAAACCTATCGTAATCATTTCACAGTGACTTATATGTAAATCAAACTGTCAGGTTGTACACTTTAAACTTATGCAGTGATGTGTATCAATTATTTCTCAATACAACTGGGGAAAAAAGGTAGTCAATAGGTATTACTTTACTAAACACAACAACTAGAAGCCTAAAATCTTAGCATTTTTGTAACCAATCTCTCAATTGGTTTAACTAAGATGTCCACACCTCATTGTAAACGCTCATTGAGAAGCTGTATTTTGTCCTATATTTTAAGATGGATTTTTTTTTACACACATGATTGATGTGGTTTTAAAGGCTATTTTAAATTTCAGCATCCAGCTGGTTTGCACACAAAATTGTGCATATTACCCAAGTGACATAAGTCTTCCTCCTGGAATGCAATACCAGCACAATTTACCAAAGTCTAAGGATACTATTTCAGCACTTATGTAAGATCAGTTTAATTCTTAATATATTCACTTTTTTTTAAAGCTGTAGAAAATTCAAAGCAAACAATAATTTAGCCTTAAAGTTTTCACAGAAGCTAAAAAAAAAAACCCTGCCAGCATAAATGAACATTCTTATTGAGGATTACTGGAAAATCAATGTCCAATTTTTTACAAGATTGCAATAGTAGTTACATGTGATTTGGATCATCAGCTTTTACGTCCTATGTGTTTCCTCCAAATTCAATTACTCATACATTTTACAATTGAGATGTTTTCCAATAATTATACGTTTTTGTTTCAGATGTAATTGCCTTACTTCATAATTTCCCAGAAACCTATTTTATATATTATCACGTTAACTTTGATCATCTTCTCATATTAAAATCCATTCTAAATTTTATTTTTTACTTTTATATTTTGTAATATACTGTTCATTGAGCTTCCACTTTTACAAACCCAAAATAATTTTCCAAGAATTTGAGTACTTAGTTATTTTTATCTCTTACATCACCATCAAAAATTACTTCCATAAGATGTGAGCTGTAACAAATTTGTGAAATAACATCTTTTCAACTTTCAGTTTTAGTAGCAAAAAAGTCAATGAATTGGCAGCCATCTACTGTTACATTCTAAATAAGTATGTTAAGTTAAATTATTCATTATTGAATTTCATTACAAATAAGTGCCATATTTTCTTATTTTGAACACTTTTTATTTATCATAATTTTATTAATAATTTTTCCTTAAATTTTGGGTTTCTTTTTATGTACATACATAGATAATTCTTTAATTTGCAACATTTAAGAGAAAAGTAACAACACTTTTTAGAACATAATAATTTATAATTTTTTAATATGAAATGAACTTTTGCCAAATTTCATTCATAATTTTAACTAAACCAAAGCACTTGAAAAATAATTGTATATAAACCAGAATATGTGACTATCTTATAATCTCCCAACTGGGTTAGTGTAAAACACAAAAGTAGCATGAAGTATGGATAACAAAAATCAAGTAATGGTATTGAGATAAACTTCTTTTTCCAACAAAGTAACATAAAATTGTAGGAAATAAGCATTAAAAAATTTGCTTCCATTAAAAATAAAAATTAAGTCAATGATCTTGGTATTTTCTCCTTGACAGCATATATTTACTCATTTAGACATAAAATGTAAAAAATTTTAGTCCATGAATATATATAACATATCTCAATAGATCTTTTTCTTGTTCAGTTTATTTAGATATTCTAACAATATGTAGACAATACCAGAATGATTAGGTCTTCCATTAAAACATATCACTTGAGAGTTTCATATTTCTCAATGGATATATCTGTGTGATGCACATTCAATCAATAAACCTTGAATGGGGGAAAGAAGCAACTCATCTTTATAGGCTCGAATTATCTTTTCATTATAATAACGTTAACATTTGTCATGATAAAGCTTCAGTTATGATTCTGAAATGCCTGTTATATATGCTTTATTTGATGACTAAAGTATTTTCACGTGTTATTCTTATGACAGGATGATGAGGTAAGGGAAAGTCAGTTCAGCTTCACAGCCTATGGAATGGGACCATGTCTGCAAGCAAAAGATGGTGTGACCCACAAGGGCCCAAACCATCCTGTCCAGGTAATGCCAAAAAGCCCTGAGGAAATGAGGAAGGTCTTTATCGACCGGGCCAAGAAGATCGACACCATCTCCCGAGCCTGCTTCCCCTTAGCCTTTTTGATTTTTAATATTTTCTACTGGGTTATCTATAAAATTCTTAGGCACGAGGATATACATCAGCAATCAGATTAAGTTTCTGGGGTTGTGCAAGTGCAAACAGTCAATTCAGAAAGAAGTGTCTTCAACATAGGTGTGTGTAGGGGCGTGTGTGTGGTGTACAAATGATGGCCATTGTATTAAAAAGGCATAGGCGAAGGGATTGTTATGATTTGCTATGCAAAGTCATGAGGCAGATTAAGATTCTTTTAATGGATACTATATACATATATATACACACATATAATGGACATTTCTGTTTCATACTAATTTACCTGCTCTTTCACAGTAAATCACATAAGTGGAAGTATTACTGCCAATGTGTTTGTATGTTATATAATTATACATGTGAAAACTGCTTTGGATTCCTTGATTTTTAATTCAATGATAATAAATCTTACAAAAGTAAAGCTTTTGCACAATAAACTTTATAAAAGGAAAAAGGGGAAATGTTAAAGATAAAATTTATTAGCTTGAGGCTTTAAAATATTTTCTTATACTGCAGTTACAAAATAATCAGTAAACTCAGTGGAAAACTTGTCCAATAGTGATAGAGAATTGCACATACAAGTACTATGGGACCAACTTAGGTGATAACAAAAAATTTTAAATTCAAATATTAAAATAACAAAATTTTATTATTTAGATACTAACTTTAATTATTTAGAGTATTAAATTTCCCTCTTTGGAAATTTAAAATGAATAGCTTACTAGATCACATCCTATAAAATATCTATGTAACTTTATATGTCTATGAATGAAGGTAAAAATGCTGAAAAAACATTATTGTGTTTAAATAAGTGTTTTAGCCATGTATCTGTGTATTTTAATTGTTAACAAACACTGAAAATTCTAGCCAATACCCACGTTTTGTTAGATTTTTAATAGCTGCTTAACTGTCTGTATGTAATTGTTTAATGTTTTGATATAATTAAACAAAGTTCAGTAAGACTTTTTTTTAACTTAGAATGGGACTCTAAAATTCAATGCCATTATAGTATTTACATTTTGATAAAAATGAATTTAATGAACAGAAAATTGGATTTACGAAAGATTTTTTAATAGTAAAAGTTTTCCCATCAAAGTAATATGATTTCAAACTCCTAGCTCCAAATGTAAGGGAGGAAGATTTTAATTCTAAATTATAAAAATAAGTCATTTCTATAAAGTGAGGATTGACTGTTTTTATATTTATGAATCAGTGATTTTAATATATAAGCCACTCACTAGATGTGAATAATTTTGAATAAAATTTTTACTTAGAATTAATCAGCAACCCCATGGAATTATTTGAACTACAATGGGGCTTTGGCTCATTTTATGCAGTGTAATTAAGTGCAAATATGTCATAGAGTTCTTCGTTAAAATGAACCAGATTCTGTTTCTTCTTCAGTTTTGCTATCTTTTGCATTATTTTTTTTTACCATTAATGTTGTATTTTTAAAAAACCTTAGAATGCTTTTAGGTGTGTGTGATTATTGGTCACATTCACTGCATGGAAACTCAATGTACCAAATTATTAACAGAGAAAGGATTAAACATTAAGAAAACGATGAACTCAGATTTAAGAGGAACAAAGAAGCCAGTTCTTGAATGAGATGCTAACCTTTTCTGACCTTTAGCTATCATCTGAAACTTTAAGCAAGAACTGCCATATAAAGTTAAAAATTTCTCAATGTTATTGAACTTTGGTCTATCCACTTATAGCTTTTAAGAATACCTTTTTTAAAAAATAATGTATGTTCAGCAATTTTTTTGCTAGTAAAAGACTGAATTCCTCTCCTTTATAAAAATTTAAAACACTATTAGAAAAAAAATCATCATGTTTGCCATTACATGTAAATGCTACAACTGAAAAAAGTCATTACTATATACTTCAGTTATTTTGAGGACTGTGCACCTAAAACTTAAATATATGCTTCTTCATTTGCTATGTATGAACCAAAAGCATGGAAATACTTTCTTGTACTAAAAATAGATTGAAGCAAGATACATTGTTTGCGTTCTCTGAGGACAAGCTGGGTGGTTCAAAGTAGTGATCAACTACATCATCTTAATGTGTTTCTGAAATACTTGAATACCTTTTTCTGTTTCTTACACATATTATTTTAAAAGTTCTCCATCATTACTTAAAGTAAGTGAACTCTGTCAGAAGCAAACAAATTTATAATGAACCTACATCCCCCCAAAAATGCATGGACATCACTTGTTTTATACTTGTGTGTCTTTTTTCAAACCTGAAACTTGGAATGTAAAAATACTACCCATGATACAACTTGTCAGCAGGGGTTTTGGAACAGTAGAAATGTATCTTGAAAGTATAATACTTTGCTTAGGTATGTATACAGTGTCTTACCACACTAAGGAAATATGTGACAGCCTTCACTCACATGGCAACAGTGACAAGTCTGAATCCAAAGTATTTAAAAGAATGTGTCGCTTCTGATGAACATGTCTAGATCCTTTCAAACTAGAAAACTACATTGTAATCGGCATCCTGAGGTAGTATGTGCCTCAACAATCCCTGCATCAAACCCTAATGTTTCAAATTAAACCAATGAGAAAGCTATTAATAAAAATGTGTTCATATGCACTAACTACCCACACTTAAGTTGCAATTCTAATATGGATATTCTGAAGTATTTTGAAATAGCCACATTAGAAGGTTTGTAATTTTTGTATGGTACGTGAAGTTTATTTCACTTTTTAAAATAGTTATGTATCTCAGCCATTGAAATATATGATTCCATAGCATATGAATTTTTAAGAAACTTTATACTTAGCATATATGTGTCATCCTTCTCTGTCTTTCCTAATCATTAGAATTGGAGTTCAACCATAGTTGGGACATAGAGCCTTTTTTTATTAATTAAAATAGATTCCAGAAAGAAACTGTGGAAGCAAGAAAGCCAGGTGTTAAAAATCTCTTCAACCTTCCCGGATGTTCTCTATGGCAATTGCCCACCTGGAGAGCCCACCCAACTCCTAGCTCCTGTATTTCAGGGTTCATTATGACTATTTACTCTATTATCAATTCCTAGTCTATAGATATACTTTAATAATCTTTACCTGAATTTTGACTTATAACTGCTTTAAAATCTATATAACATATATATTGGGTTTATGGATTCTCAGGATTTTATGGAAGATAATGGAAATTTTATAAAATTAATGTGAAAAAATAAGCCATTATGTTTCATAGAAGAAAGCAAGTTGTTAACTACTCTGTCACTCTGTGCAATATAAGTAGTCATGCTTTTAAGAGAAAAATAGGGATTGCTTCCATATTATCATCTTTTCTGAATGTCTTTCATCTCATTTTTAAAAATATACTTTTCTGTTTTTAACATGATAAACCTCAACCTGCTAGCCAGTTCAGAGAACTGAATATTATATTGGCAGCTCAATTTTCCTTTCCTCTATAAAGTACAAGCTTTCCGTGAAATGGATTTGAGGGAATATAGGATTGGCCAATACTAAAAACAGAAAATACTCTCAATATTGCAAGTAAGAAATTGGCAATATGTAATGCACAGGTAACCCCTAACAACAACTTAGATCACTCTAAGAGAGAAACTCTAAGAACGAATGAAAGAATGAAACTGATAGTCTTAGAACAATCAGTTACTAATGATCTTGGAGGTCATATCTCCTATGCAAAATAGATTCCACGTACCTTGCAACACAGATAATAGCAGAAGCTCTCAAAATTTCTCAGCATGTATCGTCTGTATATCTCATCCAGTTGATGATGAACTAGTAAAGAAAGGCCACCATTCCGAGTATACAGCATAAACTTACACATAGCCTGTCAGTATTCATGGAACTGATGAGGCAAAGACTATAAAGTAATGGACTTAATTAAAACACATTACCGAGTAAGTATGGTTTTCATCCACAAGTCATTTTCTTTTTAAGAATCTACTCAAGGCAAGTATAATCAATGGAAATATAAATTATATTAGTCAGGAATTGACTTAGTGACTCAGAGAATATTTTTGCATCTTTATAATTTCAAGCTTGTCTTTTGAATTAAACTCCCCTATTAAGCACAGTTATGATAGCTACATCTTACTTGTTAATTTGGATATTCAATTTTTGAACTAGATAATTTTATTGCCTGTGTTTGGCTTTTGGACTGAGTCACATGCTTGAGGAGGAATTGAAACTTTTAGCACAATCAGCTCCAACAGACTATAAACTTAACTTGTACTTTTAGTTGCTGGTTTCATGTGCATTTCAGAGAAGAATTTAGTTGCAAAAAACTGCAACATTCTTTTAAGTGACAGATTTTGATATCTTTTCAAAATGTACCCCAGATTGTCTGATCTGCTTAATAAATATTAAAGGAATTTCCAGTGCAATGAGAGAACCTGTAACTGTGCACAGGCATTTCTCTCCAGTTTCCATGTCATATTTGAGTCTTTGGAGTTTATCAGTTCATTGCTTTGACATTTTAAAGCAATGCTAGAAACAATAAGGATTACAGCTTGTTCCTCTGAGACAATCTGGGGCTCTTCAATACAATATTTTAGAAAATATAGTGTTTATACACAAAGTTTCCTTCTTGATTGAGTGCAAGTGAAATACTCGTAATACCAGCTGCACTTTTATTCCTTTCTAGGCAGAGACATTGATTTCTATTTTCTTGTACAGTACTACAAAAAGTAAAATACAGCGATCCCACTTCATTCTCATTGTTACATGAATGCTTCATGAATAAATAAGCAGCATTACATTAAACATTGTATTAACTGAATTAACTTTAAAGTTAAACTTTATCCCAGTCCCAATTTTTCTCTAAAAATATACTGATAATAAAAAGTAAACGTGTGCAGGGAGATATCTGTTATTCTAAATACTTAAGAAGTAAATGTATGTTTATTTTTTTATGCCAAAGATTCTTATAGCCCTTGCATAAAATGTCACTTGTTAGGATTTGAAAATAACTAGGACAGAAAAATATTCTGGAGAAGCTTCTCCCAGAAATCAGGCCAAAAAAATAGAGAAATCCTGAGCCAAGTAGCTAAGATTGT